CTCAGCCAGCAAAGCTGGCTGAGGAACTCTGGGAGTTGAAGTCCACAAGTCTTAAAGTTGCCAAGGTTGGACACCCCTGCTCTAGATAAACAACAGATAAACAAGCCAAAGGTTGCCAAAATTTGCTCAGGCAAACACCTAGGATTTGCACACCCTCTTTTTTGCCTATAGAGCCAGCCATGACCCCTACATGACCCCATAGGGATCCAGAAGGTATAAAAACCCACCCACTCAAAAACCCCATTTTGTCAGCGACCCAGAACCGCGCGCTGTGTGTGTGTGTGTGTGTGTGTGTGGTTTTTTTTTTGTTCGTTCGTTCTTAAGCAGCCTCCCGTTTTATTCTCGGCTCCCTAACCGGCCTGACTCGAAACGCCCCTCGGGTCTCCCTCCGGCACGGCCCTCAAAGCCTGGGACGCTTGAATCCACCTCGCAGCTCGCCTGCCGGGGCTCATCCGCGGAGGCCGCGCGTCCGGGGCTGAAGCCGGGAGTCCCCCTCAGCACGATTCGCCCCTCCTCCGCCGGCGACCGCCCGGGCAGCAGCGCCTCCCTGAACCTCCGCCCCAACGCGGGAAGGAAGCGCGGCCCACCCGGAGCCTGGCCCGGGACCTCCCCCAATTCCTTCCCCGCGAGGAGGCTCCCTTCCCCCCCGCTCACCCGTCGCAGCGTCTCCTGGTTCACCTCGGCTTTGCCGCGCAGGCGCTCGGGGACGAAGACCACCGACATGGCGCGGCCGGAAAGCCCGTTTTCACGCCGCAAAGCCTGCCGGGACTCCCCGCTACGCGACCATTGGCTGCTCTCTGCGGCTCCCGCGCGGGAGGCCCCGCCCCCACGGGCGCTTAGAGACCAGCGATATTGTAGAGAAGCTCACCCCTATTGGATTGCTAGCTTTCGGACACCTTTACGTCATTCGCGCCATTGAGTTCCTCGCGTCGGGCTGGCGCGACGATTGACGGTGCGAAAAAAAGTTGCGTGTGAGCGCCCCCTGGCGCTAAAGGACGCCCGGCGGAGAAAGGCCTCGAGTGCATCTTCTGGCGGCCCCACAGTGCTCAGTTGAAGCGGAGGCTGAGAAGGGACGCTGGGGCCCTTTTCCCGGGGCAAAACCCAGGGAAAAGGAGGATGAGGGGAGGCGGGACAGCAGGCTCCGGTATTTGAGGGTCTGCCACAAAGAAAGGGCGGGGCGGCGGCAACCTATTTCCCAAGTCAAGATGGAACGGATGGAAACTAACCCAGGAGAACCTAGAACTCAGCAATTTCCTGACAGTGAGGACAATCAACCAGTGGAACAGCTTCACTTCAGAAGTTGTGAATGTTCCAACACTGGAGACTGGACAGCCACTTGTCTGAAATAGCATAAGGTCTCCTGCTTGAGCAGGGGGGTGGACTAGAAGACCTCTAAGGTCCCTTCTAGCTCCTTATTTTATCTAAGACCTTCCCTTGGGGATCTCAGGCGTGCAAGTTTTCCAGAGCCCTGGTGGAACAGTGGTCGTTACAATGCAGGACTGCTGAATGCCGACTGCCTACAATTGGGCAGTTCAAATCCCACCAGGCTCAAGGTTGACTTAGCCCTTCCAAGGTGGGTAAAATGAGGGTCCAGATGGTTTGGGCCTGACTCTGACTTCTCAACATCTTCAAAGTAAAGCCAAAGTCCAGTTGCCTTTTGAAAAAGCATCTTAGGGACAACCAGGACCTGGATGACTGAGAATCTTCATAGACAGCTGCTTTGTCACTGTTTACTTTATTCTATTTTCTTTTCTGTTTACATGCCTTTCCATTTTCCTTATTATTGTAAGCAGTCTAAAGTCGCCCCACGACAAGATAGGCAGCAAATGAATTTAACAAATAATAATAAAGCAACACAAAATCATGATTGCAATTTATTGATTTTACTTTGCCTACATTAACCTTGCTTATTGCAGATAAAAATGTATGTGTAGTCCCACAGATAATATGCTAATAAAAAAAATATGGATTGTCTGGAATTGAATAAACTTAGAATGGAATTGCAGGAGAAGGAAGAAAAAGAATATTATACAGTCTTGGGAGAAATGGACTGGACTTTTCCCCTTCAACTGAAAAGAATGAACTTCTGAAAGCTAGGTACTTCAAAAGGTGATTTCTTTAATTTCTTTAATTTCTTCAATTTCTTTATTGAAAGGAAGTGATCCAGGTACTAGTCAAAGCAGAATCTAAGATGCTTCCAGGCATACAGTAAAAGATAAAGGGAGTTAGAACCCCTCCCCTTATTCTAATGTGGATTTAGTCAAAGAACCAACATGTGGCTAGTCCTCCAGTTGTATATCATGTGCAAGTTATACAGATTCAATATAAGATTTAAGATATTCAGGTTACATCAAAAAGGATTACTTGAACCAACTCCCCGCCCCCTTTTTCTTCCATTGAAGAATGGCAGATACACGGATCTGACAGGTATGTTTTGTTAGATAACAGGAACAAAAGACAATGCAAAATGTAAATGTAAATGATGTACATATGTGTTTTTTTGTATAGATAGATCTATATGTATATATATGTCTGTCTGCATGTAAATGAATATGGAAAAGCCAATGCCACAACGTACTGCAAAAACTAAATATGATTTGTTTTTAAAACTGTAAAACTTTAATAAAATTTCTTTTAAAAAGAAACCAGTTTAAAGACAAGCATTCCCACCTGTTTTCCCATCTGCTGCCACACATTGGCAACTCACAACATACATTGCAAAAACAAATATCATAAAATCCCCATTAAAAAACCCTGTTCAGCATCAGCTTCAGGTTTTTTTCACAGCTTTCCGAAGGCAAATGTTTGCCTCAGGAAGATGGAAAGGGCAGAAGTTTGACAAGTAACGTTATTGAGGAGCGTTTGCCGGAGATGGAGCCGTCAGGAAAGGTTCCTCCGGTGACTGAGCCTCCCTCTCTTCGTCGTAGGGAGCCAGAAGCGGCTTCTCCGGAGACGGCAGCTCCAGAGGGGCAGCCTAGCCGCCCAGCGGCTTCCCGCAGGTTTTATTGTTATGGGGCGCCTTCCGTTCAAACGGGGCCCAGAAGGGCGAGGGGGTCATCTCGGGAGGGCCAGGAGCAGGGGTCCCGAAGCTTGGCCCCTTTAAGACTGGTGGACTTCAACTCCCAGAATTCTCCAGCCAGCTTAGCTGCCGGACGGGGAAGCTTCGCTGGCTGGAGAATTCTGGGAGTTGAAGTCCACCAGTCTTAAAGGGGCCAAGTTTGGAGGCCTCTGGCCAGGAGACAGAGGATTGGTCAGGATTGGTCGAGTGAGGCCGGTCGAGGCCTACTTCCTCTTCGGCGCCTGTTTGGGGGGCGGGACGCGACACCCAAGAGGCGGCTCCGGACGAGGCACAGCCGGGCCGGGCTGCGCGGGGCTGAGGAGGCTCTTCTTTCCAGCGGCTCCGGGCGTGAAGCGCCGCCACGACCGGAAACGACCCCTCGCCCAAGCCCCGCCCCCTCCAGGCGCCGCTTCCGTCAACAGCCCCGCCCGCTGTTCTCGCAAAGCCTGTCCTCCGCAGAAGCGCGACGTTGCAGCGCCTTGGCGACTCTTAACTTTTCTTAAGTCTACGGGAATCGCAGCCCTTTTCTCGCGCCCTTCAAAATCCCGTAGAGCGATTGGTCGACGTCTCCTGCAAAAGGCGGCCCTCGCCTTGATTGGCAAGCCGGCAAGCCAAAGAGAGCGCCAGAGAGGCGTGCCCGGGGAGGGGCCACTTCGTGCGCGGTCTGTTGCCAGGGCGTCGGTTGTCCGGCAGCGGCCAATCGGGGCGCGGGGTTCGCGGAGGGCGCCCGGAGCCGTTCCCCGCAGAAGCGCCGCTGCTCCGCCAGGTGAGTCTTCAACTGGCGGGCCGGGCCGGGCCGGGCCGGAGGCCGCGGGGTTTCCCGGTCTCAGCTCTCCGGGGGTTGCCGCGCCGTTCAGCGGCCGGCGGAACTCCCCGCCACCAGAAGTCGAGGCGGAGGGCGGAGGTCAGGCCGCGGCCTCCCGCGCGCTTGTGGGCTCTGCGCGGTTTTGCACTTCCCAGCCGCAGCCGCGCTTCCTGGCGGGCGCTGCGGCGGAGCCCCGAGGCTTCCCGGGCGGCCCTCTCAGCCCATCTCCTCCCGTCTGCAGAGCGGCCTCCGCGCGCCTGGAAGGGAGACCGAGGCGTCGCCACGGATGGTTCCCCGCTGACGAAGAAGCTGCCGCCGCCGCCGCCGCCGCTGCCCTCTCGGGAGCCGGAGCCCTGGGGGGCTGAGCCCCCGCGCTGCCGGACGGGGAAGCGACCATGGCGGCGGCCGTCGCCACCAAGACGACCTGGAAGCTGCGTGAGTGGGGCTCCCTCTTGGGCGGGGCGGCTTCTCCTCTCGCCTCGGCCCGCCCTGGACGATGGCTGGGGGGGGGGGGGGGGGCGGGGGGGGGCCCTCCCCCCCGCGGGGGGGGGGGGGGGGGGGGGGGGGGGGCCGGGGGGGCTCCTCCCCATCGACGGGATGGGGAGGTCGGGGGAGGCACAGAGAACCACCCTTGGCCGCCGCCGCCGCTGCTGCTGCTCCAGGACGGGCAGGCTCTCCGGCTGGAGGCCAAGAAGGAGGCAGCGGCTCGATCAGGTTTCCCCGGCATTAGTGAAGCTCTTTAGGCCGGGGGTCTCCCACCTTGGCCCCTCTGAAGGCCTGGAGGGCTTCAACTCCCAGCAAAGCTGGCTGGAGGATTCTGGGAGTTGAAGTCCGCCAGGCCTTCAGAGGGGCCAAGGATGGAGACCCCGGCTTTAGGCTGAACTTGGGAGTCTTCTTATATTTGTTTATATTTATTTATATGGACTGTTTCCCAGTATGATTTGATTGCTTGTTGTACCCTATGACTATTAAGGGTTGCATCTGATGATTCTTGACAAATGTCTTTTTATGTGCCGAGAGCATTTGCACCAAGACAAATTCCTTGTGTCTCCAATCACACTTGGCCAATAAACAATTCATTCATCCATCCATCCTTTTCATTCATTTTCCTGGTAGGCCAAGCAGTACTAAAGAAAGAAGCCCCTCCAGTCTACTAACTGTAGCCCTGGAACTAAGGAAAGATGCTAATAACTTGCACTTGCTTTCTTACCTAGAGGAAATCATTGCCCACAGCAGCAATGTTTCTTCCCTCGTCCTGGGCAAAAGTTCAGGCCGGCTCCTGGCAACAGGCGGAGATGATTGTCGAGTTAATATCTGGTCTGTTAACAAGCCCAACTGCATAATGGTAAGACTTGCTTCACTTCTTTGGGATATAATGGAAGAGATGGGCCAAAAGAAGCTCTGAATTTGTCTTTCTTCAAAAGAGGGGAGGAGCCCTTGTTTCTTCTGCCTTTTTAGTTGTGGGCTCATTTGACTGTTTAGGTCAGGGGTCCCCAAACTTGGCCACTTTAAGACTTGTGGACTTCAACTTCCATAGCTGGCTGGAGCATTCTGGAAGTTGAAGTCCACAAGTCTTAAAGTTGCCAAGTTTGGAGACCTCTGGTTTAGGTGCTGTGCTGGGCGGTTGAGAGTGGCCCATGGTGTTCTGGAACAAGATGCTTAACACATGGACTAAGGCTGATTTGGACTGGTTTAACAATGTGGACTGGTTACCATGTTTTCTTGACAAGATTGCATTTGGGGGGATTCAAATCACATGCTAAGCCAGAGACAGAGAAGCCACATTATGGCTTTGTGAAAGGGAATGTTCTGTCTCTTTCCCACAATATATTTTTTTAATGTCTGTTTCTGCATGATTTTTAAAAGGGTTTTCTTTCTTTCCTATCTCCACACAAACTCTTAGTGAATCAAAGCCACTGTTTAAGAACTGTGTTACAGGATTGATGCTATGTAACTGTCTTGTATTCTCGCTGATGCCCCTTTAGTTTGTTGGAGGGTCATATATAATAATTTTGATATTGCCACAGTTTTCCTTTTCTGCTGATTGTTTAGGCCAGGGGTCTTCAAACTTCAGCTTTAAGACTTGTGGACTTCAACTCCCAGAATTCCTCCTCCAGTCATGTTGGCTCAGGAATTCTGGGAGTTGAACATGCGTGTCTTAAACATGCGAAGTTTGAAGATCCTTGGTTTAGGCTCTAATCTTCTATACCCTATGCAGTCTATAAAGGAGAAAAGAAATGTACTTAGTAGACATACTGTTGTGCTGTTGGAATAGTATGCTGCCTAATTCTGGCCCAGTGGAATTCCCACGAATGCGCGTGACAATTCGCCCTTTACTGCAATGCCGTTCCTGAGACACGCTTTTGACTGTTGGGGGCTGAGTTGGTAGCCAGGTGGTCCTTACCCTTTTTTAAAGGGTAAGAGCATAGCATCCTCTCTGGTGGTTAGTATCCGAAGGAAAGCACCCTGGGGGAGACATTGCCAGGGATACTGACTTGGCCCGTGTCCTGCACAAATGTAAAGCCTAACTCCATTCTCTAAACTGGGTATTTCTGCACCTGATCAGTCTCAGGTTCTCTTGAGAGCCTTGGACTGCCACCTTAGGTGGGAGAGTTATGTAGTGAATCCGAGAGGGAGGTGCTGCCTTCTCTTGGGTATTGGTGCTCTGTGTTTGACTGGAGCTTGGAGCTTCTCAACCATTGACCATCAGTTATTATTATGTAAACTTTGTTTATTTTAGAAAGGGTTTTGCTGGAGGTAATTCTGTGAAGTGCTCAGTGCATGAGTTGTGAAGTGAAGAAACAAATTTGGCAAACTCAGGGGTACGTTATTTGAGGACAGAAAGTGACCCTACACAGTTTTTCTATCACTGCTCTAAGAAATCAATTTTTCTGTTGCCCTTTTTGGCTAACAACATTAATGTTTTGTTTGTCTTGGCTGATGACTTACCATCTTTTCAACAGTGAGCAGCTGCTTAATAGAAGAACTCACTTTTGATTACCATCCAGGGCGATGTAGGTGATCATCAAATAACAGTGTTTTTCTGCCAGTTTTCCTAATTGAAAGTTCTTGGCCAAAATAATTATTAGCTGATATTTCATTTGCACTAGATCCCCTCAGCAGAACAGTTGAATCTGTAAGGTTGAAAAGCAGGAGGTCTCGACCCCCTTTTCCCAAAAGCCCTCAAGGATTTCCAGCACTTGCCCTGCTTGTTCAGTGGCACGGGAGCTCCCGCTTCCACCCACAATCTCCCACGATAGCTCCCCCCACCAAAGGCTGTGTATGAAAGAAGGTCCTACAACCTGTACTGCCTTTAGTCACCAAAAAAGGTTAAAATGGAGACAATGAACTAATTATAATGCAACCTCCTGGCTGTTAAAATAAGTGCTGGCCAGAGGATTCAGATTTTCTTTCCTTCCCTAGTGGGAGATAGGCCAATTTCATAAGACATAAGCAAAATTAAATTTTATTAGGAAAAAGACACGAGGAACCCTCCCTTTTTATTTTAATGCTCATTAAGAAAGAAGGTAACTTGCGGAGCTGCCCAGTTTCACAGGAGTGTATGTGTGTTTGTTTTCAAACTAGTCTTGACTCTTGGCAACTACAAAATCCATGTAGTTTTCTAGGCAAGATTTCTCACAGTAGCTTTGCTATTGTCTTCTTTCTAGGGCTAAGACTGATCGGCCCATTATTTATATCTAAAGCAAGATTCCCAGCTTCTGGTTCAACACATTTATCACTGCACTGATTTGGCTCTCTTTCACACAGAGACACAAAACACAGCTTATTACTTGGTTAAAAACAGAAAAGGGAAAATTCCCAAAGAGATACGTTACACTTCTAGTAAACCACAAGATGGTGGTTTTACAGGCTGCTTCAACAGTCTTTTGGCAACTTAACCAAACACTTTGGTGGAAGAGGAGAGGGGCATCCACTAAGTAACTCTTTCTTTTGCTGACTTAGTGTGTCTCTGGAAACAGCAATCTCCAGCAGGGTGTGTGAGTTGTGCTTTTCTGTGGTCACGCCCCAGCATTTTAGCCTTGTGGTTGGGCAAATTTCCCTAAGCAGTCAGTAGGCAGCTCAACCTGCAGCTCACTGGGTGTGATAAGGGCGTTCTTCCCAGGGTTTGGCCCAGCTGACTCCCGATAGCGATGGGAAGGGACGGCATGCGCTACCCCTAAGCTGCTTAGGAGAGGCTGAGTAAAATGCTGCCTGCTTCGTGGTCGTGAAGGAGCAGCACTTGTTCCTTTTGGATGCTCTGCCCAGACCACCTTGGCTTTTCCCAAGATAACGTGCCCTAAGTGTAAACCGGGCAACGTACTACACAAACGCTAAAAGTATATTTGGTAGCATTAAATGCTGGAAGGTTGTTTCTGGCTAATGATATTTTGTAGTCCAGTATTTACTTAAGGAAAATTACCGACAGTTTTTAATTTTGACGCTACAAAGGCTGTGATGACGATTACCCCAGCCACTGCGGCTTCCTTAGCAAACCACTACTCTAAACACTGAAAAGCCGGTTGACAGAAGGACTTTGAAGTTGTTAAGCAGCTTCTAGACCTTCTCTATAGCTGGGAATCTGAACACTGAGACAGTGCAGGGTGAGTTTGGATTGCCAATATCTCAGCTTCAGGTTAAGGCCAGGTAGGTAGGCTCCCAATGTCACTTTTACAGCACAAATCTCCAAGGCTTCTGGGCTGATCTGGAGGCCAGCGAAAAACCTCCGTACTCCCCAAAGGGTCCAGTAACTTTTGTCCTCTTAAGACAAAAAATACGTGGCTTCTAGAAGTTGGCTCTCTTTTCCGGAGCATCAATATCCAAGATCAAGAAGATGGGGGTGCAAGGAAAAAGATGACCATAGGGGTGATGTTGGGGGCCATTAAATCAGCCACCATTATATAAAAGTAGCATATTGTTTAGATAGAAAATCATATATAAATCTCTATTTGTGAAAATAACTGCTACTGTATGTTTTAATGTACCAAAGGAAAAACATGTAGCATTACTCCACACATGGAAGTTACCTAATTTCCAGAGCAAATTTCACAACTCTGGTGATTGTCCATTACCAGATGGTTTTTCTTTCATCGAAAAATGTTTACTGATTAATTTGAGCAAGGAATACTCCAAATGTGTATTCCTTACACTGGATTTAGAAAGTCTACATACCGCTGTTAAAATGCCAGGTTTTTGAGATGTAAAAAAATCAAACCAACACGAGTCATTTCAATTTTTCCCCACTTTTAGAATAACATATAAGCTATACAATTCAATTGAAAAACAAACAAATCTTTTAGGAGGGGAGAAAAAACTGACAATAATGTGGTTGCATAAAGATGCCCACTCTTAAGCTAATACTTTGCTGAAGCAGCTTTTGATTTTATGACGGCATTCGGTCTTTTGGGGTAGGAACCTAGGAGATGGCACGTCTATCTTCACTTGGGGATCTTTGCCCACTCTTCCTTACGAAAGCATCCTAAATCTGCACAGGAGATGCCCTCCAAATTGTGAGGGCATCTCCTGCGAACAGCTCTCTTTAGATCACCTCACAGATTTTCAGTTGGATTCAGATCCAGGCTCTGGCTGGGCCATTTCAAAAATTTGCTCTTCTTCTGGGAAAGCCCTGATTTTGTTGATTGGGAAGTATGCTTTGGTTCATTGTTGTCCTGTTGAAGGATGAAATTCCTCTGCATCTTCAGCATTTTAGCAAAGGGTGTATAGACTTTCTGCATCCACTGTATATGCCAGCACAGCACCCAACCCCATATTTCCTTCTGGCTCAAAGAAATGGGTCTATTTTCCGTTGGTAGACATTTGTCTCCTTGCTACCACAGATATCCCTGGAGCTGAACAGCTGTAGGTACTTTTTTAAACAGGGCAGAGAGAGATTCTGCCTTTCTATGAAGAGAATTCAGAGGCAGAAATAGCAGTTGGTCAATTGGAAAAAAATAAAGTAATTTATTTTGCAGTCATCCTTTAAACTTTTCCACACAAAAAGTCAGGAAGTGCTTATTGTTTAATAAAGACTAGCAAATTGACATATTTGCATAATTTTTTACCTCTCTTGCACCAGAAGACAAAATTAAGCCTATCAACAAAAATCTTCTTTACGTGCTGCTACTGCTCAGATCCTTATTTCATGACCAACTTAATTGTGGCTGGCACCCCTCCCTTCAGTTGGCTGACTCTTGTTTTTTTTTCATCTTGATCAGAGTCTAACCGGTCACACAACGCCCGTGGAGAGTGTGAAGATTAATACAAACGAAGAGCTCATTGTTGCAGGATCTCAGTCAGGCTCCATTCGGATCTGGGACTTGGAAGCTGCCAAAAGTAGGTTGGAAAGATTGTTCTGGCACCTCCTCTCGTCCAGCTGGCCTGTAGAAAGGAGGCTGGAGAACTGAGTTCTGCTCTGAGTGTTACCAGGGCACTTAGTCTTAGTCTCTTCCAGATAAAAGTCTGCTGTTGATCTCGGTCTGTTCTGCATGAGAATTGGATCTCCCTGGATTCTCCCATGTAGGCCACAGAGAATGATAAGGAGTTTTGAGCCACAGATTTCCTTTCTGGTCACCCAGTAGCTTTGCCTTAAGAAATCATAACAAATGAGAAACAAAAAATACACATTTCACATAGATTTTATTGAAACTGACTTTGGAATTAAATGTTAGTTAAAAGTGCTGTTATGAACAGAACTGGTTCTCCTTCAAGCAACAGAGAAAAGTTATACAGTACATAGATTAGGATCTCACTTGATAAATATTTATAGTATAGACACACAATTCATTCATTATAGCATTTTAAATGCTTTGGCATGTTCTGTGCTTATGTGTAATATCGGCAGGGTACCACTTTTCAGGAAGCATGAAAATGCTTGCTAGCATCAGTCCGATAACTAGAGCCAGGCTTAAGTAGAAAAACATGATTCTGTGGACTTCTTAAAGGAGCGTGTGATATTTCAAAGAACGTAGAAAGGATTTTGGCCTGTAGACATTGGCTCTTTTTTGTCTCTTAAGTTTTATCTATAGGCCATGGCTAGGTATAAAACTGTATATGTGTGTAATCATACAAACATTGCCGTTATAGCAAGAACCATTTTAAAAAGAATTAGTAAACGGAAAAAAAATATGTCCTAAAATGATCTCATAAAAGCTATTGATTAATACAAGAACCCAGAACTATATTGTGTTTTGAAATAAAAAGATACTCTACTATGTTGGTCAGTTGCATCCTAAAAGCAAGCAGGCATCCCCTGATCACCTTAATCTCTTAGGAAGATTTCAATAACTTCTCTATGAAATCCCTGGCCGGTGGAAGAAGCAGCCCCTCTGTGTGTGTGTGTGTGTGTGTGTGTGTGTGTGTGTGTGTGTAGAAGCGTTTAAAAGGATGATGTGGACTCAGGGAAGATCTTTGCCCACCAGGCTGGCTTCCCTGCAGTTTCTTGCCCCTTCTAGACAGAAGCGTTGCTCTTGTTGAGTGAAAAAGTTGGCTTTGCTTACAAGCATCTGGAAAGTTAGTCGCAGCAACCACCAGTTGAAGCGGGCTTGGTTTCCTTATGGTTTACCTCCACGCTAATGGGAGAGATGCTGGAGTCTTGTGGATGGGAACAGCTTCTGCAACCGGCATATTTTTCCCAGTCCTTGATTGCTGCCTGCTAGGTTTGACTAGTCAAGTTGACTAAGAAGTTGGAACTCTACGTTTTTATCATTAATCTATTATATGAAGTAGATCCTGTTTGTCTGGCGTTCAGTTCAGTTTTGCACACAATCTGTGGCCTCCTGTGACCTGTGACTGTGAAGTTCTGGGTTCTTGTATTAATCAATAGCTTTTATAAAGCTTTAATATCCTTCCCCATTGATTTCTTCTGCTATAGAAAAATGATCCTAATCTGACCTATTCACCTTTAAGAAGGAGCATTTTGATTAACTTTATAATTTTATAATTATTTTAAAAATAAAACTTAACTAAATAAAACACAAAATTATACCAGCCATGCTGTCTTGGCATGCATTTATTACTGGCAGAATAGTGCCCTTTTAAATCATAATTTTCTTTCCCTGAATTTCCTCTTCAGTCCTCCGCACATTAATGGGCCATAAAGCAAATATTTGCAGCCTTGATTTCCACCCTTATGGAGGCTTTGTAGCTTCGGGGTCCATGGACACCAACATTAAGGTAAGGCCGATACCTCCCTTTCCCTCCCCCCCCCGCCCCCCCCCCCCCGCATGGCCCGCTGATGGATGGGGGGGTGGGCAGAAGCAGGTGGAATGAAATGAATTCATAGTCGGTCGGTACTCAAGTAGCTGCTTGGAGTTCTTGTTTTTGAACGTGTCTTTTTGCCACTTCTGAGTTTTGGTCAGTTTCTTGGTCATCCTACTGTAGTCTGCATTTCTTCATGAAATGAAGACGGGGAAAGAGTTTTGCCCTTTTCAAAAGTGCCCAGAGATCTGAAAGACATGAATATTTTTCTGGGTAACCCTGAACAACGGATACTTTTTCTCCAACATAGCCATCCATTTGTAGAAGCCACAGAAAGATCTGTGCACCGTTATCAAAACCCAGGAGGAGGAGGAGGAGAGGAGAATGCAGGAAGTTCCATGAAAAAGGGAGAGCGGCTTCTTAGTGTGGCCCAAGGACCCCTTTCAAATTCTATTAGCTCCACGCGCGGAAACAGTGACTCAGTCCCAAGTCAGAAATCAGGACTTCTTAATGTGAAGACAGGCCTTGATTGATTAGGACAGTTAAATGTTTTCTTCTTTTAAAAAGAAACAGTATTTTTTCTTTCTTTCATGCAGCTTTGGGATGTAAGAAAAAAAAGTTGTGTCTTCAGGTACAAGGTAAGAAGGAAAAATACGCTCTGTTTCCCCTGATGTCCCGAAACCCGCTTGTGCAACGCGTAACATTTACTGGGGCAATTTGAGAAGCTTTATGAATCCAGGATGATCAATATACTTGTCTTCTAACAAAGAGAAAGCAAAATACCAATCCATTTTCCTGCAAGATACAATAACTGCACTTACAAGCAATTCTGTTTTTCCTGGTGTTTCCCCCGCTTCGGCCTGCCGTGAACTCCAGAGGGCCGGGGGAGGGGGCAGACGTGGGCAACGAACGCCGTTGTTGTCAAGGGGCTCTTGTGGCCCCTCCCCTCCTTTGGTCTCCTTTGCTGCCTTAGCCCCCCCCCCCCCCCCCCGGAATTTCTCTGGGGCGTGTCATCGTAGGGGAAGACCTCCTCTCTCAGCCCAACCTCCCTCATTGGGCTGCCGCTGTCTAAAGGGGTGAGAAGGGGCTATTTTGAAGGTTGCCTTGAAGGAAAGGCCGGATGCCAACCCACCTTGGTTTCCCTTTGCAGGGCCACACAGGAGCCGTTCGGTGCCTCCGCTTCAGTCCGGATGGGAAATGGCTGGCATCCTCCTCTGATGACCACACAGTGAAGGTAGATGGGCCCTGCGCGCCCCCCCCCCCCTTTCGGTGGCAGCCTGGGCCATAGAACCGCTTAGCAGATGGGAGTGAATTGTGTTAGCGCTCTGGGCAAGAAAAGCCTTTGTGGTTCTTCTTCCCCTGCCTAGTTGTGGGACCTGGCTGCTGGAAAGATCATGTTTGAGTTCACGGGACACACGGGACCAGTCAACGTCATTGAATTCCACCCCAATGAGTACCTGTTGGCCTCAGGGAGCTCCGACAGGTAACACGGGCTCTCGCTGGGGCTGGAGAGGCTGCCCTTGACGGGGAAGGTTTGCCGAGGGCTTGTGGGGCGATGTCACGGGCGCTCATGGGGTGGCGGGCAGGCTTTGAACGGTTGTTGACGTTGTGCGTGGAAGAGGTTCCTGCTTTTAGGGAAGGCCCTTTTTTCTTTTTTTACCAGCCTGGAAGCTGGTGCTTCAGGAGGAAGTCAGGATTGGCCCTCTGAGGTCCCTGTAATGTTTTCCATTGTGTTGAAGCCTCCATGAAGCCCCTGAGAATTGCTGTGCCTGATCCTGGAGCTGGTCTCCTCTTTGTGCTCAAAGCAGCATTTCTTCGTTTGCTTCCCTCCCTCCCTCCCTCCCTCCCTTCCCTATTGCGAAAATGTAGAATCCCTCAGGATTCTCTCAGCTCTCAGGATTCAGTGACCTGTGTGGCATAAACCGAGGCGTTGATGTTGAACTGGCCTGCTCAGTTGTCCGTGTGTAAAATCTTTCCTGGTGGGTTGTGGTCCCCTAAAGCCGACCTTCCCAACCTTTCCGGCTCTGCATGGTTCCTTGTGAGCGGTGGGCAAACATGGACACGCAGCTCCATTTGCGCAGGTGGCGGGCACGCCATGGAGCGCAGGTGCTCGCCCTCTGCTCGCACAAGTGGAGATGTGCACATGTAGCTGCCCAGCACTTCTGTGCCTTGGTTCAGAACAGCTCATGGGCCACAGCCCGGGGATGGGGGGGTCCCCGTCCTAAAGGATTCCGCTGCCTGGATCCTTCTCGGCTTCCTGCTGTGGGAGAGATGGTGGTCCTTCCTCTGTCGGCCACAATGCCAAGGGATTGTTTGGAGAGCTGGCACTGGTCCAGCCGTCAGCAAAGATTTCGCTCTCCCATTGGCTCAGCCTGCTGCCCTTCTGCAGAGTTTTAGGCAGGAGTTGTGTGCCGTAGGAGTCTTCCGTCTTCTGCCCTCTTTTGCCAATCACTGGCTTCCCTCCTGAGTTGCACAACTTGGCTACGGCTTTATTATTTTTGTTTCATGGCTTGGCAATTAAACAGGATTAAATTATTGTAGAAATAGGCTCCTGTGTATTCAAGTAATTTGTCGAGACAGTTTCTTTTGCTGATTCTGCATTTATTTTTCAAAGCATTTGCATCATGAAATCTTAGACAATATCTGCTGTCTCCTTTCTCTGACTCAAAACCAAAGGTTTCACCCTGGATATGTTTTCCTGATTTCCTAGCAGTGTTACACTTGTGGACATACTATATCACATTTTCTGATGGTCATATGTACATTGTACATATTATTGTATGTACATTGACTACCGTGCTGACTGTATCAAAAGTAAGTCACACAACCCACAACTCAGCATCCAACCCTACTTCAACCAATCCACCATCACCCAAGACTAGGCACGCACGCTCCTAACTACCTCAGTTCCATCTACAATTGGCCTTAAATGCAAGCTACTCAATGCAAGAAGCCTTGTGAATAAAATACCTGAATTTCTCCTCTTACTAAATACGGCTAAATTCGACATCATATTTGTCTGTGAAACATGGTTCAATGCATCTCTCCCTGACTCCATTACCACAGTAAGAGACTATCGTGTTTACCGATCAGATCGTGAAATCCATAGAGGAGGAGGTGTTGCTATCTTCTATAAAAAGTCCTTACATCTAAAAAACATCCAAGTTACCCAAGAGCTTGCTCTTCCTGAGACCATCGTCTGTGAACTGTTCTTAAATATCACATTTTGATTCTTACTATGTTACAGAGCCCCTGATTATGACATCGAACATGTAAACAAGCTAAATACACTACTAACATGGGCAGCATCCAGCCCACACGCTTTTATCTTTCTTGGTGACTTCAATCTACCTCATATTAACTGGACCCTAAACGAATGTACAACTGAACCCACACATGCAACCTTTTACAATGCAGTAACAAACCTGGGACTAGAACAACTAGTAACCAACAATACTAGACTTAACAACTGCCTCGATCTCATCTTCTGCAATAGTTTGAATTCAATTTACGGAATACAAATTAAAGAACCCTTTTCCGACAGTGACCACAGCATGATTGACTTTTGTCTCAACATACGTCCACACAAAAATCATCACAATGACAGAATCCCCAATTATATCTTATATCTCTCATCCCTTGATTGGCAATTTCTATTCAATGGATGCAATACTGTTGAAGACCATTACAACATTTTTTACTTGAAGTCAAAAGAGTCATCAAACTATATGTACCAATAACAACTCCCAAAACCAGAAAAAAACAGATTACCCATAACAATAAGGAAGCTTCAATCCAAAAAGAGATCGCTTTGGCGGAAAAACAAATCTGGTCACGTTGCCAACTTCATAAGCCGATACAAAAATTTATGCTACCAAATAAAGACTGAATGCACCAATTATCACATTAAACAAGAGGAAAACCTTCTATGTACCAATTCCACCTGCACTTTCTACATTTTTGTAAACAACAAACTAAAAGACTAAAGGTCCATCCCACCCCTGAAAGGACCTAATGGTAAAGACTGCATTGATGACACCATTAAAGCCAACCTCTTTAACACATTCTCTGGCTCAGTATTTGTAAACAGCAATGGATCATGCCCAGTATTTCCTAGTCGAACCACAGACAACTACAATGATCTAATACATATCGATTTTACAGAAGACAATGTTGAAAAAGCACTACGCAATCTAAAACCATCTCTATCTATTGGACCGGACGGAATATCTGCCTATTTCTTTAAAAAGCTATCCACTGCCATAGCCGAACCTCTAAGCATAATCTTTGAAAAATCTTTCAGGACCAGCTCCTTGCCTAACCTATGGTCACTAGCCACGGTCATCCCCATCTTCAAAAAGGGAGACCCCAGCCTAGTTGAAAATTACAGACCAATCTCTTTATGCTGCGTAACCTGTAAAGTCATGGAATCAATTATTAACCAATCCATCATCCTCCACTTAAAAACAAACAGCCTACTCTCTAATAAACAATTTGGTTTCAGAAAAAAACTATCCTGCAATCTGCAACTCTTTCACTGCAAAAACATATGGACTACACCAGTGATCCCCAACCTTTTTTATGCCGCGGCCCGGTACTGGCATCAGCTGGGCGCCGCGGCCCGGTACCGGCATCAGCTGAGCGCCGCCATCTATTGCTTTTTCATCAAAAAAAGATGGCGGCACCAGCGCTTTCAGTGAGCTTTTCCGGGTAGAAATGGCTTTCTACCCGGAAAAGCTCACCAGAAGCGCTGGCGCCGCCATCTTTTTTTGATGAAAACGTGCTTCCGGTGAGCTTTCTACCCGGAAAAGCTCACCGGAAGCACTTTTTCATCAAAACAAGATGGCGGCGCCCAGCAAGCCAGCGGCCCGGTAGGACTTGTTCCGCGGACCGGTGGTTGGGGACCCCTGGACTACACAACTCGACCAGGGCAAAGCAATAGACGCAATCTACATAGACTTTTGTAAAGCCTTTGATTCAGTGGTACACGACAAACTGCTCCTAAAACTAAAATCTTATAGTATTTCTGGACACCTGCATAACTGGATAGAAGCATTCCTGTCAAACAGACAACAAATGGTCAAAATTGGGGGCGTCCTATCAAATTCTGTACCTGTCAACAGTGGTGTCCCCCAAGGCAGTGTTCTAGGACCAACTCTCTTCATACTCTACATAAATGACCTCTGTGATCATATTAAGAGCAACTGCATTCTCTTTGCTGATGATGTAAAGCTATTCAACACCACCAACAATACTACTACCCTTCAAAAATACCTTGACTATGTATCAGAATGGTCAAACAAATGGCAACTTCAAATCTCAACAAATAAATGCTCTGTCTTACATATTGGAAAAAAAAATCAGAAAATAAAATACAGGCTGAATAGTCAAAACCTTGTTGAGGATCCAAACTCTGTCAAGGACCTTGGAGTACTCACCTCTAATGATCTAAGTGCTAGAGCCCACTGTAACTACATAGCCAAAAAGGCATGAAGAGTTGTTAACCTAATCTTACGTAGCTTATTCTCTGGTAATATTACACTAATAACTAGAGCATACAAAACATTTGCTAGACCAATACTCGAATACAGCTCATCAGTCTGGAACCCACATTACAAATCTGATATTAACACAGTTGAGAAAGTCCAGAAATATTTCACAAGAAGAGTTCTCCACTCCTCTACTCGTTGCAGAATACCTTATGCCACCAGACTTGAAACTCTAGACCTAGAAAACTTAGAACTATGCCGCCTTCGGTCTGATCTAAATATAGTACATAAAATTATATATTGCAATGAGTTACCTGTCAATGAATACTTCAGCTTCAACCATAACAATACAAGAGCACACAATAGATACAAACTCAAGGTAAACTGCACCAAACTTGATTGCAGGAAATACGACTTCAGCAACAGAGTGGTCAATGTTTGGAATACTCTACCTGGCTCTGTGGTTTCTTCCCCAAACCCCAAAAACTTAGACTGTCTACTATTGACCTTACCCCTTTCCTAAGAGGTCTGTAAGGGGTGTGCATAAGCGCATCAACGTGCCTACCATCCCTGTCCTATTGTTTCTCCTTTTTTTTTCTTATATGTATCCATTTCATGTATTCATAACTATGTTTATACTTATACCTGTTATCTTATAATCACTTGAATAAATAAATACATAAATACAAATAGACATAAATATAGACATAAATTGGGAGATAATTTTTTAAAAAGCCAGGGATCCTTATTATCTTCCTCAAAGATTTTTCCATTAAGAAATATTAGCTTGGATTAAAAATTGAAATCTACTCCAGTATGTTGCTAGGAGGGGTTATGTAAGAACTTCACTAGGCAAAAGCTGTTTGAAGCGCACCCCCACCCCAATAATTCACGCTCTTTCACCTTCCGCCCTGGGGCTTGGACCCCGGCTGAGGAGCTCTTGCTCCTTTAGGATGACTGGAATTGTTTACGGAGAGGTGGGTCAACGTTCCTCCCTTTAGGAATCTGGGCGAGTGGCAGCTCTCCTTCAGAACCCAGAAAAAGAGAAATGAGATGTCAGCGGAGCTGGAAATCAGAGTTGGGCGGCTGGTTGGTGGCTGGAAGCACAGAGTGACGAAAGAAGGTGGGATTGGGAAGAGCTGATCTTTCATTCCCACCATCTTTGCTTTTTTTTTGTTTTCTTGTAGGACAGTCAGATTCTGGGACTTGGAGAAGTTCCAGACAGTGAGCTGCATTGAGGAAGAGGCCACACCTGTCAGGTAAGATGCAACAGGTGTTTGTCAGCAGGAAAGACGGTGAGCTGTTAGACCGGGGGTTTCCACCCATCCATGGCTTCAGCTGGCCCAATTTTAGGCTTTTCTTCAAATTTGGGGGCCGTGTCAGGTGAAATGGCACCCTTGTTGCCTCCCCCCGACCCCTGCAGGTGTGTGCTTTTCAACCCTGACGGCTGCTGCTTATACGCCGGCAGCCAGGATGCCCTGCGAGTGTATGGCTGGGAGCCTGAGCGCTGCTTTGAAGTGGTCTTGGTGAACTGGGGCAAAGTGGCTGACCTGTCGATCTGTAACAATCAGTTGGTGAGTGAAGGAGCAAGGGCAGAGTCGGAGTTTCTGGCTGATTCTGGCTCCAGTTGTTCTGCTGCCCCCCACAGAGGGCTTCAAGGGGGGCGGGGCAGGAACGGGAGGGCTGCCCCCACCCCCACCTTGTTGCTTGCCAGGGAGCTTTCCTTCCGTAGCCCCAGTTCTCCCTGGAGCTCTGAGGAAGAGCAGCCAACCTGATGCAGCACAGGATCTTTTTCTAGATTGTCCTTGCAAATACCTGAAAGTCTAAAAATGTGGATTCTTTCTGTTAGATTGGCGTTTCTTTTACCCAAAGCACCGTCTCCTCCTATGTCGTGGACCTCAGCAGAATCACAAAATGTGGGTCTGGGCTCCACGGGCTGCTCCGAGATGACAAACCCCTGAGCCCGCCCCCATCTCTGGGCTCCTCCCTACGACGGATCTATGAAAGGCCGACCACCACCTGCAGCAAGGCGCAGAGGTGAGGGGGGGGGCAGGCTTTTTGGGAGGAGGGGTGAGCAGGGGGTTGGTGGGGGTGGAGGCTCAGCTCCCTGGTCCCTGACCCTGTCTCTCCTCCCGCAGAGTGAAACACAACTCAGAGAGTGAGAGGCGCAGTCCGAGCAGTGAGGATGACAAGGAAGAAAGGGAATCCACCGCAGAGATCCAGAACTTGGAGGATTACAAAGAGATATTCCAGCCAAAGAACTCCATCAGTGAGTTGGACTTAACATTCTTGGATGGCTTTGGCTTGATGTTAAGCAAAATAAATCTTTCCAGTGTCTATAGCCTCAACTTTATGAAGCTGTTAAGAAGGCCTGTTCCATCTAAAACTCTAGCTCAGCGATGGCGAACCTTTTTGTTGTGGTGTGCCAAAAGCGCGTGCCAGCACCCACAATGCAATGCACTCCGTCCCTCTGCACATGCGCCTGCAACACCACCGCCCTTGCCCGTCCCCTTACCTGCACTGCGCATGCGCCTGCCTTCCAACTGATTTTCGGCCTCCTGGGGGCTCGGGGGAAGCCTCTGCAGCCTTTGAAGGCTGAAAAACGGGCCCGTTTCATCACTTTTGGTAAGTGACGGAAAAGGCCCATTTTTTGGCCTCCGAAGACTGCAGAGGCTTCCCCCGAGCCCCCAGGAGGGCAAAAATGCCCCCCCACAGGCTCCAGAGGCCCTCCAGAGGCTGAATACGGGCACTTCCAGTATTTCCAGAAGGCCCGTTTTTCGGCCTCCCGAGGCTGCAGAGGCTTCCCTCGAGCCTCAGGAGGCCGAAAAAGGCCTCAAACAGGCTGAAAATCAGCTGGGAGATGTGTGCACGCGCAGTGCAGGTGAGTTTGGCTGGGCCTCGCATGCCCGCACAAATGGTGCCATCGTTCGCCATCACGGCTCCAGCTGCTTTAGAAAACTCTTTCCTCCCGGAGCTTCCAAGAGGCCGTCTTGTGTCTGCAGGTGGCTAGAAAAGAGCTGACCCAGCAGTTGCTCAGGTGGCGAGAGGGATCTTCCTATCTGAGTTCCCAGGTGGATCGTTAGCAAGGGTTTTCCTTCCCCTGAATGCGCTGTTGGGGGGCAGAATGGGCAATGAGTTGGAGCTTGTATTGCTCCTTGTGCCCGGAGTCTTTCTGGTCACCTGACGCGGGGGAGAGTTACTGGGCAGTGCAGGAGAGCCGCATTGGAGTCAAGCTGCAGAAGTCCAGAATAACGCCGTTTCTTCTGTCACCTTATGAGAAAGAAAAAGGTTCCAGTTGAAGTTGGGGTTTTGTCTTTATAGCACGGACTCCCCCCAGCAAGAGTGAGCCTTTTCCTGCTCCTCCAGAGGACGGTGAGTTCAGAGGCCTTTCCTGACGTCTCCTGGGTGTTCATGAGCGGTAAAAGGGGGGCGCTGGGTGGGGGGCTATTCCTTGCAGCCAATGGAAATAATTCAGTATAATGGACAGCTTGGTTCTCTGCTCCCAAGGCGGCCAAAGGGGAGTCAGCTCAGGCTTGTGGTCCTTCCCTTTGTGGCTCAGCGTTCGGAGATGCCTGGGAGCAGTGGAGGGGGGGGTCTCAGGGAAGCCCCCAAGCAGGGCACACACCCAGGTGCTCCTCTCTCGCTTTCGGCAGCAGTCCAGGGGTTGGCAGTCAGCCGCCCTTGCTGCAGCCCTTGCCAGCTATCTCTCTCCTGTGGGGGATTTTGCTCCAGGAGTCAGCTGCATCTCCCTCCCAGGGACCCCGGCCCTGTTTGGTGGGGCTCGATTCCACAATGGGCTCTGTGAAGAAATACTGTGGAGCCTCCGTCATGACCCTGATCCGTTCCAGGATTTCGGTTGCAACCCAATTTGGTTGCGGCCAAAGGCACAATCGTCTGTGCCTGCACGGGCAAACCACCCCCAAAAAATGGCACCCAAAGGGAAATTGGCGCACAAAGGGAATCTTTCCACACCGATTTTGTTCACCACCCAATTTTTGAATTGTGACCCGATTCAAAAATCGGGTGGATTTTTTGTTTGCCACCCGATTTGGTTGTGAACAGGAGTGTTTGCGACTCGAGGTTCCGCTGTACCTAAGAATTGGGCCCAATGAAAACTTGCCGTTACCAGGCAGCGCCTGATTTTATGTCCTTTCGTCAGGCGACCTTTTTATGTACCACCTTTGTAAGCTTAAGAAAGTCCAAAGAAAGCTTGGACTTTTCTCCAGAGCACTTGTGCCCAGCAGCATTGGTTTGGTGGTGGTTGTTTCGGCCTCTCCCAAGGAGACCCTGTCCCCCCCCTCTCCCTCTAGAGGCAGCACCTGCGAAGGAAGCCTTGCGGGCTGGCCAAGCAGCAGACGCCGCGTCCCCATTGCCAGGCCAGGAGAAGGTAAGTGCCTGGCCGCCTGGTTCTCCGGATGGGGGCTGCTCCTTTGGGGGTGGAGGCCGCCTCTGCCAACCTCCTGCCTGTGGGGGAGAGCAAGCGGGTGGCTTAGTCTGGGCTTTGAGCTGGCCAGACCTGCGTGAGCGTGAGGAAGGGCAGGAGAGAAAGGCGGCTGGTGCCTGCCGCCCTCGGTGGCCTCTTGGGGCCTGATTAGGGGAAGCAGGAGGGCAGCATCCCTCCTCCCCTCCCTCTCCCTCTCTCCATCAACCATTCCAATGGTAAATGTGGTAAAAGAAACTTCGGGGACATTATTTTACCAGTCGTATATAACTTGACTGATAACTCCTCATAGGCACGGAAGTAGCAAAGCCAGCTCTAAAGTTTTGACACAAAACCCAGCCTGGGTAAAATCCTCCTTTTCCCCCTGGACCTCCCCACGGTTCCTTGTCCACCAATCCAAGAGTTTCATTTTGTTTGGGGAGCATTCTGAGCACCTCAAGAGTTTTCCCAGCGTTTGATTTTGGGATTGTCCCAGGCTGCGTCCCTCCCCCACATTCCTGTACTTTCCCTCCCCCCTCCCTGTTTGTTTGTTGTCTGGTTGCGAGCAGGGGTGTGCGGCAAGTCAGCCCTGGCACTCTTCCTCCCTCCGTTTCTTTCTTTCTTTCTTTCTTTCTTTCTTTCTTTCTTTCTTTCTTTCTTTCTCTCTCTTTCTCTCTCTTTCTCTCTCTCTCTCTCTCTCTCTCCCTCCCTCCCTCCCTCCCTCCCTCCCTTCCTTCTCTCTCTGTCTTTCTTTCTCTTTCCCTTTTTTTCTCTCTTTTTGCCCTGGAAAATTGTGTGACCGTCCTGTCCTGTCCTTCCCTCCCACAGACGGGGCCTGGTCAGAGGCAGCCCGTAGCTGCCTCAACCCCAATAACGCGGGTGGAGCCCTCGGTGATTCCAGCTGCCCGGAATGAGCCTATTGGGCTGAAGGCCTCTGACTTCCTGCCGGTATGTTCCTTGCTTGCCAGGAAAGAGAAGAAATAGTCACTCAGGCACGCTATTTTAGGGAGCAGTTTTTGATTCGACCAACAGTCTTTAGGGGGTGTGGATGGAAACTAGAGATCCAGTCTAGAACTAAGGAGAAATTTCCGGACAGTGAAAACGATTGGAACAGCTTCCCTCCAGAAGTTGTGGATGCTCCAACACTGGAGGTGTCCAAGAAGAGATTGGCCGGCCATTGGCCTGAAGTGGTGTAGGCTTTCCTGCTGGAGCAGGGGGTTGGACTTGAAGACCTCTAGGGTCCCTTCCAAACTCTGTCATTTTGTTACTCTGTTGTTCTGAAAAAAGTGGGTGAGGTATGAGTAGGAAGAAGAAGGCAGCTCTGTGATTCAGAACAGCAGCCATTCTTAGGAATGTCTTTTATAACAGTGTATTTCCTGGGTAGTGTTTTTATTTATATTGACCACCAGGAGGCAGTACGTGACCGGTTTGTCCTATTTTAGGGCAGTGGGGGTGGGGACCCTCAGATATATCTTTCAGGTAACAGAACAGGAGGGGCTTTTTTCCCCTGTGTCAGTTTGCACAGCCCTCATTTATTGCTTTGCCCCTAAACTACGATCCTGTTGCCTCCAGAGAAGAACCCAATCTAGGAATCACCTTTCGGTTTACAGCTGCTGGGGCGGAAATTCCCTTGCAAGCATTTGCGATCCCCTCCCGCCTGGCTGGGTGTATTTCCCTTAGCCTCTCTGCTTGCAGGCCGTGAAGAACCAGGGCCTGGTGGAGATTGCAGACGAGGAGGCCATGTCCCAGATCCGGAAGGGCCATGAGACCATGTGTGTGGTGCTGACCAGTCGCCATAAGAATCTGGACACTGTGAGAGCCGTGTGGAGCACAGGGGACATCAAGGCAAGCTTGGAGGCTGGGTGGGGGCTTGTGGCTTTTCTGACCTGGGGCCCAAGCTCTGCCCTTCGTACGGAACCCCATGGACTCCAGCCTCCTATCACTCGATGGGTTAATTTCCCCATTATTGCTTATTTCTTTAGTGCCTGGCATACACATGCTAGACACACACTGCAGTCCTAAATTGCTGCTTCCTTCTATTCAGTGCTTAGGCGCCTATCCGTGGTGCATGTCGGGGAGTGAACTAGCTTTCCACCAGCTGACTAGTGGCGCTCAGGTTGCTGGCTCTCCCAGGCTTCTCCGCTAGTCTCACCTCGCTGCGTCTTGTGCCACGATGCCTTGAGTCCAGCCAAGTCCAGCGCCAGCTTCCTGTCTCCACACTCATGAATGCAGCTAGGTTTTTGCCACCGAATTGGTTCCCCTTCGGTCTACTTGCATTGTTGCAGGCTTTCAAACTGCTAGGTGGGCTTGGGATAGAGTGCCAGGCGCTCACTCCGTCTCACAGAGTCGGGCCATCTCATCAAGAGTGCAGGCCATGAAGCCTCCCCATTTTCCCCACTGGGCTGGTGACATAAATGCCTGATTTGATGATAATGAGATATAACTGACAAGAAGTTAGACGTGGTTAGTTGATCGAACAGAATATCTTATTTCTGCTTCGCAAAATTGAGTCCTAACTTGCATTCTTCAAGAAGCCACACAATTTCAGGATCCCTAAAATGTTGATCTCTCCTGTTTGTTATGATGCTCACCTGGAGAGGAAGGGGCCTCTATGGGTGTGGTTCTCTCGAGGATCTGAGACCACCCACCATCTTCTGCCTAAACCTCAGATCCTGGTTTACTACACTTGTGTCTTGGGTGGGAAGCCGATGCCTCCTGCTCACTCTGAATGCCCCAGTCCTTCTGTTGCCATCATAGGGAACTATCTTCGCAGGAGCCTTTTCACCAGTTTCTTTTGTAATCACCAGAGAATTTAGGATTTCATTTCAGTTTCTTCTCTGACTATAATTTTTGGTGACCATTTCTGGTTTCACGGGCCTTTTCACCAAAGACGTGTGGCCTAGCTTTGCTTTTGACCTGTTGTGCCAGGATTGGAACAAAGGTACTTGGCCTATTGGCACATGGGGAGATTGGTCTCAGAAAAGCTCACCTTGCATTATATCCTGGTCCTTACTGACCCCCAGATGTCCTTTGCACAGGTGATCACGGATGCTAAGCAAGCTGACATTCAGCCTCTTGGTTTGGAAATCTTTTGATCTTCTGATCAATATTGTCTTTAGTCTGGTGGCCCATATGAATTTGGGACATGGCTTGCGGGAGTGACTCGGCTTGGCCTTCCTGCCTCAACCGCAGGATTTACCCCCCAGGGTGTCCTTTCTGCCCCAAAGAGCAAAATATTGTCATGCAAGTGACTCACTTTCCTTTTCAACGGAAGAGAATCTCTAACTCAGGGTTGAACTGTGGAGCTTGGCGTTTTCTGAGCTTGGTTGTTTTCTTGCAGATGTTTCATTACCAAATCAGATAACAGCATCAGGGATGCTTGAAGGGAGTATAGGCTTTGTTCTCCTTTTGTATACAAAATACTCTCATTTATTTAAGAGCAAATCCCACCCTCTCCCGGCGCTGATATTAATCTGGTTTCATAATGAACTGTTTCCAAGAAAACAGCTAAACTCAGAGAGCACCAAGGACCCCACAGCTTCCTTTCTATTTGATCGAAGAGATGCTGTCGATCTCTAGAAGCAAATCTATTAGAGGGCGGGGGATGCTGGGACTTGTGGTTCTGCATCAAGTCCCACTATTCTCTGTTCCTGCCACAAAGCCACTGGGGTTCCTTCCCATAATCCTATTGTACCATTGTGGTTTCTCCTCAGACTTCAGTGGACTCTGCTGTGGCCATCAATGACCTCTCAGTGGTTGTGGACCTTCTGAACATTGTAAACCAAAAACCGTAAGTCTCTTGTCTTCTGCAGGGGGAGCAGAGCGTTGGTTGGGCTGGCTGGGTGCTGGATCTGGGTTCTTCTCATCCACCAGAGAATTTGCTGGCGTAGTGAGAAGCGTGACTGCTCCCTTGGCACGCAACATGCGGTGGATCCCACAGGCTCGCCTGGGCACCCAAATATTCTCCCTTTTTCCTATCTGGAGGGACACGAGACCCCTGAGTGGTTCAGGGCACAGGATGCCAATCTGGGGCTGATCTTGAAGCCGCTGCAGGCTTTCATTCCTGGTGGGAATAGAGTCTGCAGGCTGAATGGTTAGCGCACTCCATCTCCCCCGCCCTCCCTTTGGCTGCTTCAGCCAAGATTTTTTGTCAGAGTTCCAGAAAACCTCAATTCCAACCAATAACTCTGAGACGGACATCTTCTCAAAAAAAAAAATTTTTTTTATTTGGGTAGTACACTGGCACATCTGGGGAATCCCGAATCTGAAAGTTCCGGGTTTCCTTGCAATAAGTAAAAAATTACAAATCCATCCTCTGCACCCATCATTGCATCACATGCCCCAAACACCATCCTTGAGACGTCCTCTCACCCAGGTGCAGAAATAGCATGACCTTGACTTAGAAGAAGATGATATTAGGTCTCACCACATACGCCCCAAGAAATTCCCCCCTCCCATTTCCCCAGGCTCAAGAATGTGGCAGCATGGAAGCGTCTGGTGTCAATATGGCTTCCAGAGCTGATCCTCTGCCTCTGAGGACCCGAGAAGTGAGGGATGCCATAGTCCAGAGTAACCTCTCTCCTTTTCCCAGATCTCTCTGGAAACTGGATCTGTGCACGGTGGTCTTGCCACAAATAGAAAAGCTTCTGCAGAGCAAGTACGAAAGGTAACGCTTTCTCTGGGCTGGAAGCTTCGTTAAAAGCTCCTTGTTTGGCATTCTATGGTTGCTAAAGTAGCAGTGCTGGCTCAGGTCAAGCCAGGGTCCCGGGGATGTGCCTTAACCATCCTGGCTTACCTGAGGGGAAGGTGGGAAGGTGGGCTGGGCTGGCTGCTCGGGGGGCCAAGGTGAGCACAGGGAAGCTTTATCTCAGGGGTGTCAAAACTCCATTTCCTTGAAGGTTTCGTGAAGATAGATCAAGGTTGTGTTTGACCTTGGGGGCCGGGTGGGCACGGCCAGCTCAACATCACTTGTGTCGGGGGCACTTTTGGTGGCCCAAGTGCTCTGCCAGCGAAAACGGGGCTCGGGAGAGGATTGCCGGAAGCCGTCGCAGCCTCCCGAGCTCCGTTTTCGCTGGCAAAGGCCCCGCGGGCCGGTCTTTAATGTTTCCTGGCTGGCCCTGCAAGGCCTTGAGTTTGACTCTCCTGCTTTACATCATCCACGTAAATAAAACGTGGAGGCTTTTTCGGCAGTCAGCCTGCAATACTCTAGTCTAACCATTGTACCACCACAGTCCAGGGAACACCAAAAAGAGCAGAACACACCGGCTCCAGCAGCCAACACCCAGACAAGCAGGGATTATACCAATCTACTAAGGAGAAAACCACACACACACCAATACTGGCAGGACAGCAATCAGAGAGCAAAGTCCACACTCACTCACGCTGATGATGTTACCTAGTTGGGTAATGAAACATCTGCATACAGACAACCCAGCTCAGGGAGCACTAAGGACTCCAGAATTACCACTATTTGTTAAAAACTCTTTCAAAGAAGCTCCGTCTCGTTTGTTCTCTGTGTGTCCTAAGAGCTTTGTGCCAAAAGCTGCAGATGCTGCCCCTGACAGCCGAGGGCTCTCCCGATTGCAGTCAAGATGCTGAATCACTGGGCAACTCTTGAGGGAAGACCTGGGCGATACGCTGAAAGGAGTTATTTTGAAACACTCTTGCCTCCCCAATTCTCTTTCTCTTGTGCCAGTTACGTTCAGACAGGCTGCGCGTCCCTGAAGCTAATCCTCCAAAGGTTTCTTCCCCTGATTACGGACATCCTTGCCGCACCTCCGTCGGTGGGAGTGGACATCTCCCGAGAGGAGAGGTAACATGTCTTCATTTCTATACCAGGCTTGGTGGTGGTGTGAACATTCAGTAATGTTGGCCCTCTCGTGACACAGTGAATTTCACAGATTTAGGCTAGAAACGCCGGGACTTGCACACGCCTTTACCTCATGGGGTCCAAAGATGGTCTACCAAGGTTGATTAGAGGCTTCTGGTGGTGTCAAGTTCTTATTTGCTCCCTGCCCCCCCCCTCCCACCCCTAGCTCAAAAACCAAGGTACTTTTTCCAGAGCTGCTTTCCCGAGACGTATCTCAAGAGAGGACGGGGCAAGTTTCTAAAACCCTGGATTGTTTTGCCCCTTGAGAATCCAGTTTATCTCCCAGGTTCAAAGGCGGAAATGTTTTTAGTTTCTTCCTCACATTCCTGGTGTGAAGTGGGAATTCGGTGCCTTGTTCTCTTAACTCCTAAGAGGAATGTCCAGACAGTTGCATGGGAAGCGCTATTAGGCTCAACCGGCAGTTCCAAATGGCTCCTGTGCCCACATGTTCTTTCGCCTTTGGTGAATCCTTACTCCCTCATTACCTGTCCAAGCACTGGCCTGGGACAGGCAATTTTTTTTACTACCGGTTCTGTGGGCGTGGCAGAGGAAGGATGCTGTAAAATCTCCAGCAGAGGTGGGCATGTGCTGGTTCTCTGAACTACTTAAAATTTCCACTACCGGTTCTCCAGAATTGGTCAGAAGCTGCCGAGTCCCACCACGGGAGCAGAGCGCCAAAAAGGCTGCCTTCCTCTGGGCAGGGTCTCATTGGGGCCTTCCGACTTCTGTTTGCTAACTGACCTGAGTATTTTACTCAGAGAAGGGCCTTTGGGGTGAAGTTCAACTGACATTGTGGGCCCCGCTTACACACAGACATGCATACTTTTCCTGATGTTACTTTATTACTGTTACTTCCTCAATTCTTTGTTCTGACGTGTTATAAAAAAATAAGTAAAATACTCCCTGGGCCCTCCAGGGTGGTGGTGCACCCCTTTTGCCAGCTGCTTTCCTTCTTGACCCAGGCTCCAGAAGTGCCACATGTGCTACAAACAACTGAAAACCATCAGCGCGTTCATCAAGAACCGGTCTGGCCTCAGTGGCCGCCACGGCAGTGCCTTCCGGGAGCTGCACCTGCTGATGGCCGTCCTCGAGTGACCGCTGTGGCCTGGCTGCATTTGCCTTCTGCATTTGCCCTGCAGCTCTGGAGATGCTGCCAAGGGGTGGTCTTCTCGTGGCCTCCTGGGAGGCAGCCTCCTCTGCACCGCACCCAGTCCAGTGCCTTACAGACACCTTTCCAAGCAGACTTTCCTGCTGTGGCACCGCTGACCTCCCTGCACCAGGGTAGTTGCTGAGGACACAGGGCCCGATCCCCTTCTGGCCAAAAGGCTTCCATCGCCTCGCACCTCCCTCTCCCTGCCTGCCAACAAGGGTGGTAAACTCCTGACTTGCGTCCAGCTCCCCAGCCCTCTTGAATTTGTGGGGGGACTGGCCTAGGGCTGCTGATATCCGTGACGCAGCTGCACCGGACCTGCAGAACCCGAGCCAGGTTTTTCTGGTAACAGATGGAGCCGTTGCTGGTGGAAATGGTCTCGGTACTGAGGAACAGAATGGATTTCCCTGCATTGTTGGAGCCAGTTGGTCATATAATTGTTAACTTATGACAAATTTTATTAAAAATTTGTAAATGGTTTCTGTGTCTACAGAATAAATTCAGAATAAGCTTCCTTTACAACTGATGCTGGTTAGAGGTTCTTACTGAAAACGGATGGTTTCGCTCAAGACCAAATGGCAGTGAAGTTTTTTTAGCTGCAAAGCTTGAAATCCCTCCATGGAAAAGCTTCAAATGTTGATCTATATTTATTTTTGCTGGAGAAAAAGTAAACATTTTAGAGGAAATTTAAATGGGACTCATTTAAATTTCTTCTAAAATGTTTATAGATAAGATACAGAGATTATATATATATACACATACATACATACATACATACATACAACTACATCAGACACACACACACACACACACACACACGAGCTATCGCAACCTTTATTTGTAGGTTTAATATTTATTTGTAAATGTTATATTTTTTAAGAGTCATGCTGACTTCTTGTCTTTCAAGAAGTAAGGAGGAAGAGAAGGCAGCTACCAATTTGAACCATCTTTAAGGAAATGTTAGAAAGTGCCCAGTAGTTTTCCTTTGCTTCGTTCCTCTGTATATTGTTTCATTGCCGTGGATCGGTTCATTTTTCTGAACTTGACTCATCCTGCCCAAAGCAGCAGCTAAAACGACAAGGACTTCTTATCTTGTGCCCCATGAACGGTGAGAGGATTGTGAGATACCAGTTTAGTCAAGAGTAATAAGATTATCACCTGTAGCCATTAGCTATTTATATATCTCTACCGAAATAATCCACAGATGGATGAGGGCCTAAATTAAATTCATTGCTTTATTCTGATTTTTTTCTTCAAGTCAGTATTTGAGGAGATTGTCTCGTGCTCTTGAGCTATTCATTGATGTAACCTTGGAGGCATTCTTACTCCAAGAAAATGTAGAATGTAAAACATGAAAGCAAATCCATTAATCTATATTCTATAGATTAAACACTAAAACTACACTGCTCAAAAAAATAAAGGGAACACTTAAACAACACAATGTAACTCCAAGGCAATCTCACTTCTGTGAAATCAAACTGTCCACTTAGGTAGAAACACTGACTGACAATCAGTTTCACATGCTGTTGTGCAAATGGAATAGACAACAAGTGGAAAGCAAGTTAGCAAGACACCCCCAATAAAGGAGTGGTTCTGCAGGCGGTGACCACAGACCACTTCTCAGTTCCTATGCTTTCTGGCTGATGGTTTGGTCACTTTTGAATGCTGGCGGGGCTTTCACTCTAGTGGTAGCATGAGACGGAGTCTACAACCCACACAAGTGGCTCAGGTAATGCAGCTCATCCAGGATGGCACATCAATGCAAGCTGTGGCAAGAAAGTTTGCTGTGTCAGCGTAGTGTCCAGAGCATGGAGGCACAACCAGGAGACAGGCCAGTACATCAGGAGATGTGGAGGAGGCCGTAGGAGGGCAACAACTCAGCATCAGGACCGCTACCTCCACCTTTGTGCAAGGAGGGACAGGAGGAACACTGCCAGAGCCCTGCAAAATGACCTCCAGCGGGCCACAAATGGGCATGTGGCTGCTCAAATGGTCAGAAACAGACTCCATGAGGGTGGTATGAGGGCCCGACGTCCACAGGTGGGGGTTGTGCTTACAGCCCAAAACCGCGCAGGACGTTTGGCATTTGCCAGAGAACACCAAGATTGGCAAATTCGCCACTGGCACCCTGTGCTCTTCACAGATGAAAGCAGGTTCACACTGAGCACGTGACAGACGTGACAGGGTCTGGAGACGCCGTGGAGAACGTTCTGCTGCCTGCAACATCCTCCAGCATGACCAGTTTGGCAGTGGGTCAGTAATGGCTTGGGGTGGCTTTCTTTAGGGGGCCGCACAGCCCTCCATGTGCTCGCCAGAGGTAGCCTGACTGCCATTAGGTACCGAGATGAGATCCTCAGACCCCTTGTGAGACCATATGCTGGTGCGGTTGGCCCTGGGTTCCTCCTAATGCACGACAATGCTAGACCTCATGTGGCTGGAGTGTGTCAGCAGTTCCTGCAAGACGAAGGCATTGATGCTATGGACTGGCCCGCCCGTTCCCCAGACCTGAATCCAATTGAGCACATCTTGGGACATCATGTCTCGCTCCATCCACCAACAGTTGCATCACAGACTGTCCAGGAGTTGGGAGATGCTTTAGTCCAGGTGTGGGAGGAGATCCCTCAGGAGACCATCCGCCACCTCATCAGGAGCATGCCCAGGCATTGTAGGGAGGTCATACAGGCACGTGGAGGCCACACACGCTACTGAGCCTCCTTTTGACTTGTTTTAAGGACATTACATCAAAGTTGGATCAGCCTGTAGTGTTTTTTTCCACTTTAATTCTGAGTGTAACTCCAAATCCAGACCTCCATGGGTTGCTCAATTGGATTTCCACTGATAATTTTTGTGTGAACATTCAACTATGTAATGAACAAAAGTATTTAATAAGAATATTTCATTCATTCAGATCTATGATGTGTTGATGTCTATGATGTGATCTATGATTTTTGTGTTCCCTTTATTTTTTTGAGCAGTGTATTTGTTAAATTTATTTGTCGCCTATCTCGCTGTGGGGAGAGAGATGGAATCAGCCATCAGTCCAGCAACCTGTCCAACACTTACTCTATGAAGGATTTTTTTAAAGTCTGGAAAGAAATACAGGTAGCCTGCCCATTCCATTTGTAACCTGAGGATCCGTGGGAGTGAATCTCATACCTTGAACCAGATCACTCCTCTCCCACACATTTGCTAATTGAATGCAAGGCTCGTTAAGTGCACATGAGGTATTTCAGGGTGGGGAAGGCCAGCTGCCTAAGACCACCCAAGGCCTCCCCGACCCACTGAAATACCTCATGCTGGCCCAAATTGCTTCCCCACCACCACCAACCTGCCACGCCGTGTCACTTGTGAAAATCTAGCAAGCGGTCTCCTCTCCAGCCTTGCATGCACTCCGTTTGGCCGTCCGTTGCAGGGCGAAATGGAGCCTCTGGGGGCTGGAGCTTCAGGGTCCGTCCCTCAGATGCTCCATTTCGGCCAGCAGCATAGAGGACAAATATTGCAGAGCCTCTGTGGTTGTTTGTAAGGGTGAATAATTGCCGTGGTGGTGCAAGAATCATGGTTTTGGGCCTTGTTCGGAAACGCCAGGGGGCGCTGGTTGCGTAACTTTGAATGTTCGCTAAGGGAAGGCTCGTAATGGGGGAGTACATGTATCTTTAGGCAAGAGGTCTCCAAACTTGGCAACTTTAAGACTTGTGGACTTCAACTCCCAGAATTCCTCAGCCAGCATAGCATAGAGGAATTCTGGGAGTTGAAGTCCATAAGTCTTAAAGTTGCCAAGTTCAAGGACCCCTGCTTTAGGCCCTGCCAAGAGTTAATAGCGCCTGAGATGAAAGGACAACTCAGAACTCCTTCAGCTCTGCCCGGCTGTATTTCAATTGTAGTTTTCACATTGCCCTTCAGTACCACGTAAGATTGAGATGACAGACATGGAATAATAAAAGTATTATCAAGGCGTTTCTGGACTTCCAAGAATTCCGACTGGGGGCAACATTTTTATTCAAATAAAAATGAAAGGGAAAGGGTACATTAAAAGCAAAGTGTGTGTCCACCGCCTCTTTTAAAAGAAGTGTTAAAAACCTGTTGGTCAGGAAGTGATCCTTTCCGGAAGTCTGTATGGTTCCAAGCACCCGGTTCCACTGCCCGCAGTGGACGGGGACAACCAGTCCAAACCCCTGGGCAGCTGTGCTGCAGTCCCAGCCCAGGTGCGGTTTTAGAAAAGCCAGCATGGTTTCCCAAAGTCCTCTGTGAAAACAGCTCCTCCTGACCTCCCCCAGTTTTCATACAGGAAGGGGCCTCGGTTTCCCTAAAACAAAGACGAAGACATAAGCGAATTCTGGCAGAGAATCCCACTGAAGAGAGACGTGGAGGAGGTGCTGCTTCCCAACACACCCATCGCTTTGCTGCAGGCACCCAGGCTAGCCAGATCCTCCTGCATGTGGCACCCAAAATTTTCCCTGTGCAGAACCTCTGCTGAACAGACAATCAAGCCAGCAAAGCTGGCTGAGGAACTCTGGGAGTTGAAGTCCACAAGTCAACCAAGTTGCCTGGGTTGGAGCCCCTTGAATCTAAAATAATGGAGGCTGTCAGGATTCCAGCAATTGCTCTAATTAAATCATGATTCTCGAGCCAAACTTCAAAAAACTTCTGTTTAGAATCGGGAGTTTCATGCAAGCTTCATTAATTACTCCTAGAATATACCCATTAAGGTCAATGGGTTAAGTAATTCTATGTGTTTTGTCTCCTTTGAGCAAAATCAAACCTGCGCTTTATGTCTTATTATTCTGGATATTTGAAAACAGCCAAACACTTGTGTTCCAAAACTCACTAGAACAGCTTTAAGACTTGTGGACTTCAGCTCCCAGATTTCCTCCTCCAGTCCTGTTAGCTCAGGAATTCTGGGAGTTGAAGTTCACAAGTCTTAAAGTTGCCAAGTTTGAAGACCCTTGCACTAGAATTAAAGTCGGTTTGGCCCATTCAGTACAGATCGTTCCTTCAATATCCCATTTGCGATTGCTGCACAGGAAGCATTTCAGACAAGGAAGCTTCTTTTTGCATCTGCAGCCGAGAGCCTATAAGGGGCAAGAGGGGCTGTGAGCGAGGGGGAAGCGGGGGGGGGGGGGGGGGCAGGCAGCCCTTTCACGACCCAGCAGAGGACAGATTTAAATAAAGCCACTTGGTGAGCCAGGTGCAAAAGCATTTCAGCACAAGGGAACAAAGCAGGACAAATCTGCCCATTTTTTTACTTTTGTAGAAAGTAAAAATGCATTTGTTTGTATCTATTTAGTCCATTTCAACATGCAAAAGGACACCTGTTTCCAGCCACGGCTTATTTTTGCTGTACTTGTTCTTCTGGAGCGTTTGTGCTTGCAGGTAAACCAGAAGAGGAACTGCAGAATTAAATCAGACTGAGAGGAAGAAGCCAGGAGGGGCTCACAGGAGAACACTGCAAAAATTATGCACCCCCCACACCAGGATGCCGG